TAGCACTAAGTTGCTAACTGGTTAGCAACATGCTTCTGACAAACCTTCCACCACAACGATCCCGCCCCCTTGATAAATGACCAATCACGTTCACTTTATTCACTGGTGTAAAGTCGTGCACCACTCGGGAGAATTTGGATATACAACGGTTGGAACAGTCGCTTCCCTATGCCTTTAATTAAAATTCTGTCTTATTAGGTCAATATACATTCAGAATTTAGAATTTATTTTACATATTATTGACTTAAATTATGTTAAAATAACCTTTTTCAATAAAATCTAAATTAGAACTCGAGAAAAACGGATAAATTCAGAGTATTTTTTATTTGTTTTGAAAAAAAAAAAGCAGATGAAACCTGGGATCCTATCTCAATCCCTCTGAAGCTATCACCTTTTTGTTTTTAAATAATTAGTAAAACAAAATTTGTAAAGAAAAAAAATGAAATAGATCTAAAGGACCTATCAGTAATCATGTCTGTTCCATCATTAGGATTTCTTTAAGTATTAAAGTTAAAGGGAAGCAGCTGTTCCAAACGTTGCAGTTCTGAATTCTCCAGAGTGTTCCACAATAAAATACTGCACTGTAAAGTGTTTTAACAATATAAAACTGCACCTGGAGAATAAATAACCAATAAACAGTTGTTTTACAGTAATGGATGTTTGAAAATAGCAGCAACATCAGAGATGTTCAGAATGACAGCAGCAGGTTATTTAACTGACTAAGGTAGAAACTGTGTAAAAATCAGCATGAATGGAGGAACTGATTGAGGTTGTTGGGAACAGTGGTGGTTCTAGAGCGGAGGTCTTCAACAGGGGGTCCGTGACCCCTAGGGGGTCCTCGGAGGTACTACATGGGGGTTGCGAAAGTTTTGGTTGATTAGACCTCTTTTTTTCCACAAATTGAAATGTCTTTAAATCCACATTAACATGAATTCAACAGACTGTAGTAAACAGATAAATGGAGGCAGAAGATGTCTTTCAGTCATCAATGCCAGTGGCGGTTCTACACCAAATGTACAAGGGGGCCAGGAGGGGGCCAGCATGTTTTCGTGGGAGCACAGAAAAGCAAAAAATAAAAAACAGGGCAATGGATTCAAATATATTAAGAGAGCTGCATGAAATGAAATTTCTATTCAATTAGGTTTAATTATTAAAATTCTATTTCTTGTTAGATCACTAGACATTCATAAATTTGAAATTTTACATATTTTTGACTTAATTTAAGTTAAAATTACATTTTTTTCTAAAAATCTGAACTAGAACTCGAGAAAAAATGATAAATTCTGCCATAAAAATTAGCGGAATTTGTTTTGAAAAAAATAACATTTATCAGATGAAAACTTGGACGCTATCTCAACACCACTGAAGCTATAACTTTATTGTTTTTAAATAATTAGTAAAACAGAACTTGTATAGAAAAAAAGATAGAAAAAAATAGATCCCGAGGGCCGATCAGTAATCATGTCTGTTCT